TATTTCCCAGGAAACCATCAAGTGACAAAGCCGGTATTGGGTGGCAGATAAAGGGAGGGGGAGGAAGACAGACAACCGTCCCCCACTCAAATGCAATTACGCATGGGTGAAGTTTGATAAAAGGGAGATTTCAGAGTAGCAGCCGTGTCCGTCTGTATTCGCGAAAGGAAAGGGAGGACTTGCGGCACCTCAGAGACTAACCAATTTATTAAGGGAGAGCGCACGCGTGCCTCTATTTATCTATACAACATGGACAGTGCAGGCGCCCCGCCAGCACGGCTCAACCTGGACTGGGAAGGACCACCTTGATGACCCAGAGGAGACGGCCCATTTGGTCGTCCGCTGGCCGTAGGATGACCAGGGAGCAAGTGTGAAAAATGGGGACGGGGGGGCCCCAGGGCGCCCACATGAGACAAAGCCCCAAATGTCAGGCCGGTCCCTGTAAAATCGGGACACCTGGGTCCCCCCTGGCTGGCGGTGCCGCCCACAGGGCGAGCCGGGGGCCGTAGGAGCCACTCGATGGGGTGGCAGTAAAAGGAGCCAGCCCCGGGACGCGCCTTGTGACCCCGGCCCTGGGAGCTCAGCCCCGCAGCCCGGGCCAGGCCGCTGCCCACCCGGGCGCCCTGTTCGCCGAGAGGCCGGCAGGCCCCTCACGCCCGGCGGCTGCGGCAGCTGCAGGCTTGTCTGCCACAGGAGCGAGGGGCTGAGCCCGCCAGGGCCAGGGGCAGCCAGCGCTGCCTCCAGCTGCCCGGGGGCCTGGGCGCGGGGGGGGGGAGGGGAAGCCGGGGGGGGCAGGAGCTGAAGGGGAGACCGGGGGGGGGCACAGGCCGGGAGGGAGGATGCAGCGGCAGACTGGGGGGGGGGGGGAGTGTGCGGGAGGCAGCGGGGCCGAGGCAGCTCCCCCCGAGGGGAGGGGGCCCGTCACCGGGGCAACAAGCTGAGGGGAGGGGGGGCCGGGGGAGTCACTTACCGGAGCCCCCCGCGGGGCGGAGATGGGGGCGCGGACCCAGCCCCTCCTCAGAGCCGGAGACTCGCTCCTCACTGGGACGGGGGGGGGGGGGGGATGGGGGAAGGGATCGGGGTGCGTCGCTACCGCCGCCCCCCCAGCGCTCTCCGCACCGCCACTCACGGAACGGACGGCGCCGCGGACGGGACAAGACCAGCAAGCCCCCCCCCTTCCCGGAGACTTCGACGACGTTGCGCATGCGCCGCCGCCCTCTCAGCGCCCAGTCCTCACCCCGAGAGAGGCGGGGCGGGCGACGGCGCATGCGCAAATTCCTTTTCCCTCCAGAGGCGTGTTTTGCAGCCGGGGAAGGGGAAGGGGGACGGCGCTGTGCGCCTGCGCATGTCTCTCCTTCCCTTGCGCTCATTGCCCGGGGTTCTGAGTCAGCCTCGCGCCGCTGCAGAGGCGGCAGGTGGCTGCAGCTGGCCGGGGTCTGTCGGTCGGTGGCCGCCTAAAAAGCCAGCAACGCTGCTCGTGCCATCTACTTGATGACGTTTGCCAGGGCAACATGACAGCACTGATCGTGCCAACGGTGCAAAAAGTCATGAGGCAGCCCCCCTCGCCCCCCAAATCATGAGACTGGCCTAAAATTCATGAGGTTTTGCCACAAAATAAAGAGCAGGGGCGTAAGAGTCAAGATTCAGTGTGTTCTTTGCTCAGTCATTGACGTACTGCAGGGGCAACTTAACCAGGGCGAGCCTCAGTTTCCCCATCTGTAAAATGGATCTAAAAACCTCTACTTCATAGGTTTCAGAGGAGCAGCCGTGTATTCGTAAAAAGAACAGGAGGACTTGTGGCACCTTAGAGACTAACCAATTTATTTGAGCATAAGCTTCATCTTGCATCCGATGAAGGGAGCTGTAGCTCACGAATGGTTATGCTCAAATAAATTGGTTAATCTCTAAGGTGCCACAAGTCCTCCTTTTCTTTTTACTTCATAGGTGTGTCTTGGGACGTTTCCTCTATTTCATTAATGTTTCTAAAGTGTTTTAAGATCCTCTGACACAAGGTGCCATAAATGGCAAAAGAATATTATTGTCAGAATGGAACTGGACTGAGACAACCAATTCATTTCACAATGTGACGTGACTTTTGATTGTTGCCAGCCGCGGCTAATCTTGAAACCGGCTTTATATGCTCGTATTCCAATCTCAGTTGAGCCATCCAGTCGTCTCTCTGTCTCAGTACATATAAGAAAAAGAGCCATTGTGATTCCATGTTAATTACAAATATATAGAGATATTAGCGAAAGATAATCTTGCTTTATTTTATTTATATTTCTACAATAAATCAAGTACAATATTATATATATATATATATATATTTCATGTTAAAAGCCTTTTAACTTTAATGACACTGAGGACTTTTGTTTACATTCTGTCACTGTGTAAAATGAGAAACACACTCCTGATCTCTGCACATACACCAACAGTGGATTTTCAACGAATTCAAGTGGCACACGTAATCCCTAGTCAATGGATATGTTGATACATTCGTTACAAGCATGACAAAAATATAGTATCTGAAATATTTGTTTTGCAACTGAACTGGATGTTGCTTTGCTTAGACACGGCTGGCAAATTTGGCATAAAAGGTGACTGGCAAAATAAAAACGTGTTTGTGTCCTTTATTGCTCCTTTTGGATATGTGGAGATGCCCTCATAAAATTTATTTTTCCCCAAGAAAATATTTATGTTGCTCAGACCTTCCTCTACTTTTTCCTTGGGGGACTTTGGAAATCTTTAGGAGGACCTGAAACATGATATCAAATATGGAGCTTGGAAGCTGAGCTGCACCTCTTCCATTTCTCCAAAGGTGCTGGGTGGTGATGCTGAGTCTTAGCACTTGTCTATCCGGAAGAAATGCATAGCAATAGCAGAATAATTATATCGCTGTCATTATGCTGGTATGATTTCCCACATGGATACTCTATTCCTGAATAAAGTGACTTTATTCTGGTATAATTATTCTGCTTTAGCTATGCTGGTCAATTTCCCCATGTACACAAACCCTTAGGCTGGGAGAAGTGCTGAGCAACTCCCAACCTCCAGCTATCATGCCCTCCAAAGATTTTCCAATATCCTCCAGGAAAAAGTGAGAGGTGGGGAGCTTCTATTTCTGATGTAAAAACAACCAGAAAAATAAATCCTGCAGCCTGGCTAATGGTTGCAGAAGGCTATGAACACAGTGGAACAGGTGCAGGACTTCTGCACAAAGGGGGATTAGGATGCGGCAAATTGATGCTCCAAAATGACCTATCTTAGCTGCACCCAAACATGCAAATGGGGCATTCAGTATCATGGGACCCTGGGGATCTATGACCATGCAAATCTACAGATAAGTGACTTAGCAAACAGGACTGTGGGGAGGAGCGTGTGTGCCAGAGCTGCAGGGATGACCACAATCAGGAGGCAGCAGAAGCATTTCAGCAAGGGAAAATTCAGACCCCTGCAGACCTCCCTGGCACACAAGCTTGTGGGCTGAGGAGAGGCTCTGGACCTTTAAGAGGCTGTCCATGCAATATCAAGGAGTAGTAAATGGTACAGACATTTTTCTTTTGTAGTTCACCTTTACATTAGAGCTGCCCTCAAGATAACATCACACGTCTCAAGCAATGGTCAAACTGAGATGGAGTCAGTCTAGAGGGAAGAGCTCTGTCTCAGCGGCAGGATTTCTCTTTCTACCATGGTCTTTGACTTGAAATGGATCAGAAAGATCTTGCAGGCTCCAGCTACCCTTCGGATTTTTTAGATATTGCCTCAAATCAGCTTTCTTTAGCACAGGGAAAGCTTGCTCCTTTTCTGTCAGTTCCAGCAGCAGCTGTTTCACCAGGTTTGGCATCTCATCCTTGATGGTACTGTCATAGAGGTCAGGGAGGTCTTGGCTCTTCTGTGAGTCCCACAACGAATTTGAATGTGAGGCATCTCTGGCCCTGGCTGTGTGCACACTACCCATGACATTGTGGAGCCACATCAGCCGCTTCAGCCCTTGAAGTGCTCTTCCTTTATCCTGCATGAACTGGTGTTCCGATATTGCTCTTTTACTGCAATGTGAAAGGAAAGTAGTTAGGAAGCAGAAGAATGTTCAGGGCTGAGCTCACATTTCTAGCGGGGCTGGTTTTTGTACATAGATTCCAGAGTGTTTTACAAAGCTAGGTCTGTATCGACATTCTCTGCCTTTTAGAAATGAAGAAACTGAGACACAAGGAGGGGCTGCGACTCTCTCAAGGTCACAGAGTGAGTCGGGGCAGAACTGCAGACAGAACCCAGTTCTCCAGCTCCGCAATCCTGTGCTCTCTCCAGTGGTCCAAATATAGGCCCTCAAATTCCCAGAACCAGATCCAGATCCAGATCCAGATCTAGATCTCAACTTTATGATCCAAAATTTTCTTTTGCTTACACAGATGTAAATCAGAAATAATTCAGTTGAAGCCAGTGGTGTAAGTGAAAGGAGAATCAACCCCTATAACCGTATAATGAGCCTGACCAAAACTATTGATCCAAAACACTCCTGAATGTAGGGGTTGAAAATCTGGATACAAACCCAAATGCTCTCAGATTTCAGTGAGTTTAGATTTGGTCAAGTACAGCAACAGGCTCAAGCCGGGAATTTGGATCTGAAACAGGATTCAGCTCTGGATTACTGTGTTGTATTACAAGGTGTCTCCTAAACTGCATTTAGCATAGTATAAAAGTAACACTAAACACAAATCACAACATTAATGTATCTAAAAATACAGAGGACCTGATTCTCTACTGTGCAAAGTGGATGTAAAATGCTACCAAATCAGATTGGTAGCATTTCTGAACAGGAGTAAATGGCTACACAAGATGCAAAGCAGTGGAGACTGCAGCCCAGTAGATTAAGTGCAAGCAGCTGACGAACAGCATAAGTTACAAAAGTGATTTTTCTTACTTTTCAGTTTCTTGAGATGTTGCAAAACAAGCAAAAAAAAAGATGACCAAGAATGGAACTATCTGCAGAGATCTTTGGGACAGGACCATCTTCTGACTTCTTTGTATCTGCTGAACAAAACAATAAAAGATTGACATTATTACCAAACCGCTCTTTCTTTCAGCTGCTGCTTTCATTCTGGCAGGTGCATTTTCTACTTGTACACATATTAGTAGCTGCTCTTGTGCATCTGCAAGCACTGTAGATCACACTAATTTAAACCAACAAGAGGTGTGCCTACTAAGGACGGACTGGAGTAAAGAACTCAGGACTCATCCCTAATATTTGCCATTGACTTCTGTGGGAGCAGGATTGGACCCTAAGGACTGAGTGGAAGACAGAGTAAGAACTCTGGGACTTGGTCCTATTATAATGCATCATCTCAGAGCAGAAAATATATGGTGGGCCAGAATCTGCTCTCACATGCACCGCTTTAAATCCAGCCTTGACTGGAGTTAACTGAGATCCACATCTGACACACACATAGCCTGTGCCAATGATATCAGACCATACAACTCTGCTATTAAATCTTTGCTGAGAAGCAGGATGAAACTGTTGTGGCTTTTTCTGAGGTTTACTGGATTTGTGGATTAGGGAAGTAAGAATTAGCTCAATTTAACTGGTGACAGGTTTCAGAGTGGTAGCTGTGTTAGTCTGTATCAGCAAAAAGAACGAGGAGGACTTGTGGCACCTTAGAGACTAACACATTTATTTGAGCATAAGACCACGAAAGCTTATGCTCAAATAAATTTGTTAGTCTGTAAGGTGCCACAAGTCCTCCTCATTCTTTTTGCTCAATTTAACTGTATGTGCAATAATTGTTTTTAATTTAAATTATCACTACAATCAAGTCAACACCGATACCTGTTTCTGAGATCTATCTATCTATCTATCTGTCTATCTATCATCTGTTTTATCACCACACTATCTGGGTTGTCTACTTCAACTATAGTGCATGGCTTTAAACATTGGATTAATCCTATCACCTTACTAACAGGTCTCCAGATTAACTGTTATAAGGAAAACCTGGTGTATGTTAATTAAGGCAAACAAAACAAATGAAAAAGGGAGTATAAAAATGTACGCATAAGAAAGATTGCAATTTTTTCTATATAAATTAGATTTATATAGATTTTTTTTTAGATGCGAAAGATTTTATTCGGAAACAAAAGCAAGTAGAGAAGCATTTTGGGATAATGCATTTCAAGCCCAGCTTCAACAGCGTCCAAAAATGGATTTGCTTCATACTGATTTTGGGTAATAAACTGGCAGTACCTGGATAGAAGGGTGTTCCGTTTTTCTTACACCCGCAGAAATTATATCAAAAAGAAAAGGAGGACTTGTGGCACCTTAGAGACTAACAAATTTATTTGAGCATAAGCTTTCATGAGCTACAGCCTAGGCTTGAATAAAGACTGGGAGTGGATGTGTCATTACACAAAGTAAAACTATTCCCCATGTTTATTCCCCCCCCCCACCCCACCCACTGTTCCTCACATGTTCTTGTCAACTGCTGGAAATGGCCTACCTTGATTATTACTACAAAAGGTTTTTTTTCTCTCCTGCTGGTAATAGCTCACCTTACCTGATCGCTTTCATTACAGTGTGTACGGTAACACCCATTGTTTCATGTTCTCTGTGTATATAAAATCTCCCTACTGTATTTTCCACTGCATGCATCCGATGAAGTGAGCTGTAACTCACGAAAGCTTATGCTCAAATAAATTTGTTATTCTCTAAGGTGCCACAAGACCTCCTTTTCTTTTTGCGGATACAGACTAACAGGGCTGCTACTCTGAAATATATCAAATAGGCGGACAGTAGAACTTAAACCTCACTCTTGACAAATATATTCCACTTTTTTAGACTGATCTCCATGGAAGATGAGGAAAAAGGTATTGGAGGGCGAATGGTTACCAGTTCTGATTTTTTTTCAAGTATTTCATATATCACCTATCATATGATATTGTGGACTATTCAAGATATAACTAGTCTGATTGTATGTAATAGACATGCTGTATCTTTATATTGTGATCTACAATAACCTGTACATCAATGAGAAGTATCTCTAAGACACAAAAGTACAACATTAACATATGGTATACTTACTGTTGATCCTAAAGGGTACAGTACAGGGTCAAATCCAGATCAGCACAGCTCCGTCTCGCACCAAGTCCTCTAGTGAAGTTCAAATTGCAATGCCAGTGTGTGTCTTCCAGCTTCTTTTATACCTCCTCAGAAACCACAGAAACAATAGACATGAGCTGTACAGTACCTTCTGTGACTAAGACCTTTCCTCTCATATTGGTGAAATCAGTGGGTTTCGTATTTCCAAAGACAATACACCTTGGATGATAAAGTCTGTTGTCCTTTGGTGATTAAAGAAAAGACTTACAATATCTCAGTGACGTTTCATTGCTTTGCTATCCTCCCAGACCTATCAGTAGTGCTCTAAATTTGTAAAGTAGGTGTCTGGATTAATAATAATGTAGAAGTATATACTGATGAGGATGACAAAGTTGGTAAAAGAGGACTGGAATTAATGGAAAATTTATCTGAGACATTTGTAAATAAGGATGCCACTGGACTTTAATGTTCAACAAGAAAAATTTTGCTTAAGCCCATTGGTTGTTCAGTGAAACACATCTGTTTATTTTGGATCCTATAAAATAGGTAGATATGGAAAAGACCTAGCAGATCACTGAATTCATACTACCACAAGAAATGTTAGATCTCCCCAGATAAAGCCTGTATTAGATATTAAACTGTGGCTGCACTAGATCTTACACAAGAGGCCACATTCTGATGTGTCTTCAGTCAATGGTCAAAGCTAAACAGGGGAATGTGGTATGAATTTTGGCATGCATCACAGGAACCGTACCCACGTGAAGTTTTGTCTGAAGCTGGACACCTATGAAAACAATGAAGGATGGTAGCTCTGCATGTATTGAGTCCGTCGGTGCATGGGAAAAGGTCAGAGTGATTTTCAAGGGTACTGAGTGCCCACCACCCCATCTGAAGTAAATATTTCTTTGGGACTTATGTGGCTCCAAGTACCATAGAGTCCAAGCACCTCACAATCTTTACCATATTTAATTTCACAACACCCCTCGAAACAGAGAAGTACTATTACCCTGTTTTACACACAGGGAACTTAAGCACAGAGAGTAACTTACTCAAGGTCCCACAAGAAGTCTGTGGGACTGAACCAAGTTGCCCCAGATCCGAGAGTAGTGCCCTACTGCCTGGGCCATTCTTCTTTAATAGCAGTTACAGCTCCTCAACCCCTCTGAAAATCAGGCCCAAGATGTCTCACGTGGGCAAGTCAGTAACGGAGGCACCCAAAACCAGTGGCCACCCTGAAAATGTGACTGTATATGTTTAGCTACCAGGAAAATGTGTGTTTTCACCAAACATGGGGAACCAGATTCGGACCACTGCTCCTGCCCTTTAGCACCACTCTGGTGTGGCAAAGATACAGAAAAGATGATTTGAACAGGTAGCTGGGGATTCCCATGGCATGGAGGCATTTTAGGTGGTTGGTTCTATGCACATACACTCCTCTGCCCTGGTTTGTCAGGTGTACACAAGGTGTGTCGGGGAGAAGGCAGTCTGGGGACTCAGGGGAGCTAGCAGTTGGCTTAAAGCAGAGCTCTGGGGCAGCTGAAGATCTTGGAGGTCTTAGGCCATGATGCTTGACCTGCATGGAATTTCTTTGACATTAATGGGCTCTGGATAGGCATAAACCTGGGTGTACCTCACTGCAAGAGCAGGGCCAGAGATGTTAAATCAATTGAATAAAGAGAATCCAAATGCTCACCCAGCACTAGTTTAGGACTGGAAAGGACTAGAGATCTTCTTGGAATACATGAATCATGTCTGAAGTTCTGCTCTGCTTTGATTTCATTGTTTCCCAGCCTACATGCACCAGCTAGAGAGCATTTTGAACTTTTGTTTTTCCTCACATAAAATTCAGGGTTTGGTTATTTATTGATTTGTTTCCTTATGTTAATATCTTTAATGCTGGTGAATGGTGCTGAATTGATTGGACTGGACACTAAAATCCTCTATTTCCCCCAAGAAGAGGGTATAACACCCTACAATGCCTATTGCCAGTGTGTCCCATTCCTGATCTGACATCAAATCTCCAATTGACGTCAGTGTGTTTTGGATAAGATCCCAGTATCAACCACAGTGAGAGGAAGAAGGGGAGTTGGGGCCTTGATTTCTCTGCACAGGCTCCCGACAAGATGGAGTAATAAGTCCCTGTTATGGTGGTGTCTTCTGCCATGTGGACTGTCCATCAAGTGACTAGAGGAACCACTAGTCTATTCTAGAGGGGAAATTCTTATTTTCTGAATTTAAAAATATTTGTCCTCTTGGAGGACTAATTCCTTAGAAATCTTGAAGAAAAAGATACCAGCTCAGTGGGAACAAAGACCACAAATTCATTTTGCATAGGCCCCCAAAGAACTATACATTCCAATACAATCAACCATGGCTGGATTCAAACCAATGGCTTAACGACAAAAGCAGATGTATCCCATTACCAGCCCTCACAGCTGTCCTATCTTTACCAATAGCTCCTATTGAAATCAAATTGCATTTATTATTGTCCTCGGGTCAATTTATTTCAAGCCATGATATTTCATGGCAATCAAATTAGGATTCCTGGTCTTCGTTACATGAGTTCCAACTGATGATGCAAGGGTCATTAATTTAAGAGGACAAAGCCTGTCACCAATTAAAAACTAGTTTTAAAAATGCTGCTAAAATAGAAGCCTGCTTCTCTCTTTAGTTTCCAGGGTAGCCTAAAGTTACACTGAATTATCTCTCCATGAAGGCAGAGCTTCCTAGTTACATCTTCAAAGACTAATAAGCATTAGCAAAAGTCAAGTCCAAAACATCTGGTCTAATTCATCCTTGAACTTTTATCATCTCCTTTATTTAATGGGCATTCACTGAGTGCAATTACTGGCATCTTCATGGTAAGAACTCAAATTGCATTTGTCTGAGCAATTGCAGGCAGGTCAGGGAAATTGAAACATGGCCACTGAATGAACACTTGAAGCATTCTGTCATGGCCAAAGTGCATTACCTTGACTACTCTGCCTCCGTGGATACTTCTTTCCACTTAAGAACCGGGAGGACGGAGGCACAAAATGTTCTTTGAGGTTGTAGCTTCAAAAGTCTTGTATTAAATAAGATTTGGGGCCTGGACCAGTTTAAATCACAAGGGTTCAACAGAATGTACATTATTATTGCAGTACTTTCGACAAAACCTACCATTTTAAGCCAAGAAGTCAGAGCCAACTTTTTCCTTGGTGACATGCAATTTTCTAATCCCACTTAGCTACGTGTAAATCAGGAGTAACGCCACCGATACCAGTCATGCAGCACTGAATACTGAATACACCTTGAATACTGTCTACAGTTCTGGTCAAGTCAGCTCTAAAAAGATATATTAGCACTGGAAAAGGTACAGAGAACGGCAAGGAAAATGTTGACGGGTATGGAACAGCTTCCGTATGAGAAGAGATTAAAAAGACTGGGGCTTCTCATCTCGGAAAAGAGACGACTGAGAGGGGATATGATAGAGGTCTGACACAAGTGACTAAGGAAGTGTTATTTACTCCTTCACATAACACATGGGGGGTCACCCACTGAAATTAATCGGCGGCAGACTTAAAGCAAACATAAGGAAGTAGTTCTTCACACTACGCACAGTCAACCCATGGAACTTGTCACCAGGGGATGCTGTGAAGGCTAAAACTATAACAGGGTTCAGAAAAGAACTAGATAAGTTCATAGAGGATTGGTCCATCAATGGCTATTAGCCAAGATGGTCAGGGATGAAACACCATAGTCTGAATGTTCCTAGCCTCTGTTTGCCAGAAGCTGGGAGTGGATGACAGTCGACAGGGGATGGATCACTTGATGATTGCTTGTTCTGTTCATTCCCTCTGAAGAACCTGGCATTGGCCCCTGTCAGAAGACAGGATACTGGGCTAGATGGACCTTTGGTCTGACCCAGTATGGCCGTTCTTATGTTCTAATGAGCGAAACATCACATCCAAGGACTCACTGTTAGCACTACCAACGTTAGACTTAAGAAGTGTTAGCAGAGTTTGATAGTAGCACTTCTAAAAATAATGATAGAATCATAGAATATCAAGGTTGGAAGGGACCTCAGGAGGTCATCTAGTTCAACCCCCTGCTTGAAGCAGGACCAATCCCCAATTTTTGCCCCAGATCCCTAAATGGCCCCCTCAAGGATTGAACTCACATCCCTGGGTTTAAGAGGCCAATGCTCAAACCACTGAGCTATCCCTCCTAACACAAAGCACTTTATATAGCACATTTCCATCAGTGCTGCACAAGCATTCATTAATTAATCCCTATAATACCTGCTACCTACCATCATACATGACTACACAACACTACCATTACCATCCACCACCAGGAGGCAATATCATTATCCCCATGTTAAAGATGGGGAAACTGAGATGCACAGAAGTTAAGTGACTTGCTCATGGACACACAGCTAGTAAGCAGACATGCCAAACCCATGGAAAAAAATGCAGAAATTGGGCTTGTTTTTGGCTTAATAGGCCTGTGAGTTGCTTGTTGGTTAGTTTTTGGCTGGTAGCTTGTTGCTTGTTTGGCTTGTAGCTTGTTGTAGCTTGTTACTTCTTTTTTTGATCGGCTCCTGGCAAGCAGAGGCAAGGTGAGGAGAGAGTCAGGGGTGCACAGCAGGCCCACCACAATCCCAGACTGCACGCCGGGGGGCTCTAGTCACATAGAGTGTTGGGGTTCTTAGGGATTGGCTTGTTTTGACCTAGTTTTGAAATGGGATTAGCTTGATTTTTGGCTTATTGTGAAAGTCGGGGTGCTTATTTACCGCACAAAAGTTGGCAACTGTGCATAAGTGGAACAGCATGGGAGTCCGGATATAAATTAATTTTACAGGCACTGCTCTGCGGATTCATTTGGAGTTCGGATTCGGGCTTAGTCTACACTTAAAAGTTTCACTGGCATACCTATGTCGGTGAGAAGTGTGAAAAAAAAATCACCCCCTTACCAGCCTAGGTATGCCAGCAAAAGGTGTAGTATAGACACTGTTACACCAGCAAACAATAGTCCTTTTGCCAGTATAGCTTATTTTGTTTTGGAAACTGGTCTAAACTGTACCAGAAGAAAAGCTCTTCTGCTGATATAAACAGCATCTTCACTT